AAAACTTCACAGAAAGAGATGGGTGATTTCTGCACACGCTTGGAGAACTTTCACTTTGGACAGTGGTGAGCCGGTCTTCAAGTTAAATATAACGTCTTTACTCTTAATTTAGTTATTCGAGACTGAACAGATACCAGCAAAAAACTGCTGTAAAATTGGGACAATGGGGTGACCAAGCTAAGTTCCTGCAGCGATATAGCCCTCAGGTCAAAATTAGAAACGGCAAGTTGACCTCATCGATGCTACATCAAATCAGACTTCATTGTGCGAAGTGAACGCAAAGAGTGTAGAATAATTCCACCTTATATTAAAACAACAAACGCCAGCCCTGCCCACCTCAATACGCCCTACTCTAAAGGTAATCAGGACTTCCATAGATGCGTAGTTTGGTCTGTATAAAATATTCCCCGGGAGTGACCTACCACAGTTACGATCTCTTTGTGGTCGTCACGGTCTGATGCACTTCTATAAACTCATAAACACGGCGGTACAGCTGTGGCCGTGCTGCAACGAGCATTACAATGGCCTCTGGACAGCTACCCGTCGGTGGTGGTCACTATAAAAGTTCTCGTCCGGTTTCCTCCCGTGAATCATCTCCGCTTCTCTGGTGCGTCCTTCAAGGATCCTCAGTGGCCAGGACCTTCCCACAAGAGGTGCCTGGAGGAGGACCGCTCTTCTAATGCCAGAGGCTCCAGGTGATGGGTACCCAGGAAATGCTCCTCCAAGAAGCACAGACAGGAACAATATGAAAGATAGGGACGACTCACCGCCCCTGTCACCTTTGTTCCAGCTATAGACATGACCAGCACCTACTAACAAATTGGGTCCGTCATACTGATTATTTGCGCCCTATATAAAACATTAACATTTGAGTTTTTAATATAAAAAATAAATAAAATAAAATATGAATATTATTTGTTGTTTTACCTAACATAAATTAACCTAACCCAATGTGTAACTTGTAAACATATGTAATATATATCTATCTATATGTACATACTTGGTTCAAATTATTTGATGCTCACAGAAACACCAGATTACTTTATTTATAAGTAACCAATTGTTACAGTACAGTACAGTACAGTACAGTACAGTGTAGAGACCAGCCGTTAATAGAAGAGCGAGGTGAAGAAGTAGATCCATTAGGAAGTGGAACGATGATTACATCAAATTTGGCTTTACTTGACCAAAGAGGAAAGTAAAAAAGATTACCCAATGACTAATTGCTTGTTGTGTCCCCAAAAGATGGTCAATGAATGCTTAGTACCAAGGAAGCTCCTACATCTTTATGAAAGAAAACATCCTGGACTTGAAAACAAACCCAAGTCTTAATTTGAAAACTTGAAACACAATTTGACAATTTCATCGCATAGCATTGGAGTACGTCACACTAGTACAGCATCAGGGCTCAGTGCACACTTAGTTGGAGCCTCTCTCTGCATTGCTTACTTTCTAGGGACAAAAAAGAAACCATTCACAGAAGCAGAGATCATTGTTCCTGCCCGGTGTACTGCTTAAGAAGAAGTATTGGGAGAGTCTGTCAAAGCCGAGATGGAAAATAGAAGCATTCAAAATGAAAATATCATTGTGGAAGCGTCGATTTGAAGGGGACGCTCTGTCTGCATTCTGTCAATAGCCCTAGCAGAGGCTTCCTTGAGCACTTGGGGGGTCTTACGAGAAAACTTTGATCGGTATTTTCCCAAAAGATCTGAGGAAAACATGAAGAAACAGAACTGGATCATTAATCGTTTCCTTCCAGCGAATTTAGAAGAAGAGAAACTCCTTGAAGTTCACTGTGATGCATTAATGAAATCATTGTTCATAATGAAATCACATTCAGACTTTTGGGACACAGTTTATAAAGATCAGTGTCACCAGAGTTTGGCATCATTGGCCCTTAAAGTTCTTGTTGGTTTTCATCATACATATCTGCCAGCGCGAGCCTTCTCAGACCTTTTGAATATAAACAATAAAAAACGCTCAAAACTATCACTATTCAGGCTTGTGTAAGACTCACTGCCACAAAAACTGTTGAGCCCAGATTTGATGTACAGTACTTGAAAGGAAAATCCAGCAGCAGAAATCCCAGTAAATTAGAATTGGTCATTAGGTCATAAAATTAGCCGGTGTGTTGTTATTACATTTGCAAATTTGTCTTCAATTATTTTTTTTCGCACAAAAGCTGTAATATGTTATAAATTACAAAAGTACGTACATATGTTTCCCATTATGGATTAACACTAAGCTGTTAGGGAGAGGGACACTGCCTTCCCTCTAGGATAAAATTTAAAAGAATAGAATTAGACGTGGTTCAAATAACGTGTGAGATACGTGTTGTTAACTTGACTCACTCGTTCGGATAATTTACGTCAGATTAGTTCTGTTCCAGCCTCTGTGTGAGTTAACCCTTAGGCTATCTGACTCCTACTGTACTACTGCTACTACTACTACTACTACCAAATATGTTGGTCACTGTAGCTTTCTCCCAATCTTGTGTTTACTTGATCTACGTTTCAGTTCGTCTGTATCCCCGTAGCTGACGAACCTAAGCTGTGAGGTTTGGTATGTAAATTGGGCACTCCGAAGAGTTGCACCATTGCCTACCTTGTGTTAATCAAAGGTAAACCGACCCTAACCTAACCTAACCTACACTATTTGGGTTAAAACGCAGACTACAAACTCCACGCTGTTAATGGAAGTTCATCACTCACAGGTTCACCTCTCGCTTCCTGGTATGTTGGTTGGTCAGAAGGACGGGGGGGCTTCCTTTAGCACTGAGACGAAAGTAATTGGTGAGTAGGGAAGCCACTGTGAAGATGTGTTAAAAGGCGTTTATTTCTGGCACTGTACGGCAAGGGAGAAGATGGGAATGTAAATTTCGGGAATCTCCAGTGGTGGTAGTGGTGATGATGATAGTGGTACTGGTGGTGGTGGTAATGGTGATGTACTTTTTTCTTCCCTGTATGAGTAAAAACACCAAGTACCGGAGGCAATCTGGTCAGTCACGGTTCAGGAGATCACCAGTTACAGCATCTTAAGCATCTTTAAACACTTGTAATGTGTGTAACTAGATTATGTACGTGATAGTGTACTGCAAATATAATTGTATCGTATATTTTTTTAATTCTCGTCATTAGTTAAAAATCGATGGGAGAATCTAAGCCACAAATTACATCGAAATAGTCAGAATTTTTTTTTATATTCTGAAATTGTTTAAGGACTTGTGTACGGGATCCTCTCTGTGCTGAATAAAATCGTCTTGCGTTAGTCACATGAGATGCTAAACGCGGCGGTCCCGTGGTGAAGAGGTCACGCAAATTCTATTTTAGACGAAACCCAAATATATAGGCGTATAATGGCTCGTCGACTGTCATTTTTTTTATCATGTTACGTAAATAATTGGGTGAATTTATCCTATATTTTCATATCTCAAAACTCAGAATGATTAAGGAATAATAATAATGATCATAATAAAAGTTACAACAATGATAATTAATTGAAGATCGCACTTTCTGTTACCTCCACACACACACACACACACACACACAAAGTCGAGTAATGTAGTCTAGGCCGGCCTTGTCTCCTGTCAGGGTAAGATGGCCGCCCTATGATTTGTTGACGGTATCTAATAAACTAAACATTCATTTTGTCGTGAGCCACATGAGGGTAGTTGTGGTGTGGTATAACCCGACCAGAGGCACGGACGTAACATATCCACATCCAAACAAAAGAAATATAATCTATGTACAAATGAAAGTTTCTTAAAAATAAAAATAAAATATTCTTCAGGGATAAGTAATAAATAATCTCGGATGTGTTTGTTCAGACCAAAACTAAATGTAAACATGTGAAGGTGAAGGCGATGATAGCGTGCGTGCCCTCTCTCCCAGCGGCTTCCTGGTGACAATTTCTTTTTTCTTCTTTTGGTTACATTGTGGTCATGGGATCACAGTTTACTGACATGGACCAGACAGTTTGACTCAGATCCTTGTTCAACTTAGACAAGAGAATTATAGCCTCCCAAATGGAACAAATTGTAATATTTTTTTTTTATTTGAAGGCGCTGGTCAACGTCCTCGGCTCGGCTAAACTACAGGTGTGGGTTAACATCTTCATTCCTCACGAGCAATCTTTATTGTTTTTAGAGTAGATATAACTATGTAATCACTCCAAAAAAGTATCTTTACGGGGGTCGATGAATTTCAGAATGAACACTGTGACTCCTGTTGTCTGGGTAGGGTTGTCAAAATCCTTCGTCCGTTGTTTCATATTGTCTCACACAGAATCGTAAAGGTAATTTTTGGAGTGAGTAACACGTGTTGATGGCGAAGCAGCAGCGGGCTACTTTCTATATGCTCGCCGTTCCTCGACCGCCATGAGACACACACCTGTTGTTCGTCTTCATTCTCTCCTCGACTGAGTCTGGAGCGTGTTCGGTGTTCTGCTACCATCTCCTGGGACCTTCACATCTCTTTTACACACTCCTTTAAACCTAACTAATGACGATCAATAGATTTGTTCGTCGTGCGTGAAGTTCTTTTGGTGATGTTTTAGTACGGTACAGTAAGTGGTCATGCCATCGAAGGCGAGGCTGACTCGGCATCATATAAATAGTAACGTGTTGGTGAGTTTTTCCCGCCAGTATTTACCGGGATCGCACAGTTCAAGACCATCAGTAAACATAAGTTGAATATACCCCAGGTAGGGACCAACACTGTGTGACATAAGTAATCCCAAAACATAAAGAAAGTTTTAATGTTTCACTACTCGTTAAAAAATGTTCTTCCCTAATGGTCAACCGACTTCATATACAGTTTACCAGTAGTGTGGAAAATCAGTTACCAGCTGCTTATAATACTTGCCTTAGCTAAAGCGAATCCTGACTTAGACCATGTGGGAAAAAAATGGTTCTCAGACACTACCTGAAGACCAATAACCTGCCATCATGAAATATTATTAACTCTGCATGAACAATATGATCATCCACCATACACACTCACCTTTGGCTCTCCTGATGAGCGGAAGGAAGGCCTTGGTGACAGACAGAACTCCCAGCACGTTGGTGTCCACGGCGCGCCTCACCGTCTCGAGCGGCACCCACTCTATCTCCCCGTAGGTAGCCCAGCCAGCGTTGTTCACCACACCCCACAACACCTCTGTCACGGTGAAGTCAGGGTCAGCAACCAGATGGAGTCCAGTCCTAAAGGATCCCATTACTAATAAACCCCTTGTGTTAATGGTCTACATCCTGTTATAGTTAACTATTTAAAAAAAGAGGATTTATCCCTTTAAATGAGATGGTTTAACTGTTTGAGGACTTTGAGGGCAATGGTTTATATTTGAGAACGATGAGTAAACTTGTTTGAGGTGATGTTTTACGACGATGATTCAACCCTCTCGTCTTCAAAGGGTTAAATTTGCTCCAGGTTTGAGCCTCTTAGACCTGGGAGCCATTTGAAGTACCGTTGATCAGTAGGCAGTTAAGAAATGTGTATTAATAATGGCAAATACTCAGCCCGAGACTAAATTTTGTTTTTTGAGGTGGGTCTTTAGGCTGGCCTGGGCTGGGCTGGGTTAGATTACTAGGGGAAGACACGCACCATCATCGCTACTTTACACCAGGTAGTTACAGTAACATATGTTGTGATACTAGAGAGTTATATGGTGGCTTTTGTTTTCTGTGCGAGTGACGGTAATATATGAATTTACGTAGTCGTGTAAACCCTCTGTTGATTTCTCTAAGAATTTATAAAGGAATTCAAGATTGTTGCAACAAGAGAGAGTAAATCCAGGTTTCTTTTTCGGTGTTTCACGGCCCGCGGTGTTCTTGATAACAGACATCAACTCAGAAGAAAAAACATAAACTGATGATTGAAGGGAGGAAGGCTGAGTATAACGGTGGCATGTGAAGGACTGATCATGGTGTAGTTTCTAAGTTCTAGGTCTCCTCTCTTCAACACTGACCCTGTACACCTCTTCAGCTACCCGGAGGAGATCATTCATGTGTTCGTGAAGGTATTAAACAACACACTCGGTATCCTGTTGTTGTTATCTTCTACGTGGCGTCACATTACGTGTCATTAGTAATATTATCCTTCAAGACAACAACAGTGGGACTTTGTGTTAGAGTAAAGCACGTAAGAAGAAAGTTATGCTAATAGTCCTGATAAAATACTACTGCTACTACTGCTACTAATGATAACAATAAGACTAATAGAAATAATAACAGAATAATTTAATTATAATAATAAAACAACAATAATAATAATAATAATAATAATTCAGGCACACTAAAACACACTAACGCCTCATTTACTGCAGAAGAGAAATTTTTAATCTTTTTTCCGAAACTGAGGAAAACGTGTCGAGTGAGTTTCCACCACACCTCCCGGCTCATGTTGCGACGATGCAGGTGTGCGTGTCGCCCCGGTCAGTATCGAAGTATTTAGGTAAGTGTGTCGGGACTCGGTAACATTATACTTTATAAGAACGGGCAGAGCTTCATTGTTTACCCTTGGTTTGTCAGCAACGCGATCGTATGTCTTAAGCGATTGGACTGTCTCTCGGGGTTATACAGTACACAGAAACATAGAAGCAATAATGTTTAGCCGTTCACCCACACGTGGAAGTATCGCTAATATGTCGGTCCTTTGGTCTACGGTGGTTTAAGAGGATTATTCTTACCTGTGATTGATTCTAAGGTAATTATAAATTAATATTGTACATCACCACCTCCCTCCACGTCCCTCATTCCTTCCCCAGGTACAGTACTTGCTTCTTTTGGCTTAATATTTGAAGTTGGTCACAAATTTATTCGTATATTAATAGATAAAGATTTTCTCTAACACTTTATGAAACATTCCACCATCAGATGTATTTATGGTTATTCGTGGGGTCATGGTTAGGGCACTGGATAAAATTTCAATCTTGTGGTCCACTGACTTGAAGGAGAGCTACTTATGCCGCCCACTCACTATGACATGTCTATCACTAAACAACAATGGCTTGGAAACTTACGGTACCGATCGATGACTAAATGGATAAAATATTCAGTTTTAAATGTTAACTTGAGATCGTGGTATTGTAGAAACACTTTGGTTGTGCAGTTCTTGTCCTAACCTCATACTACACAAGGATAGTTTATCTATGTTAATTTTCTAGACACACTCTCTCTCTCTCTCTCTCTCTCTCTCTCTCTCTCTCTCTCTCTCTCTCTCTCTCTCTCTTGGAAGGGAAACCAGCTACTCTGAAGATGCGGGGTGAGGCGGGTTGACTGACTGACCTCCTTCAGTCATATTTCTAGTTCTTGCTTCAACTAGCGACAAGAAGCAACATCTTCCTCCCTCAAAACTATACAACCGTGGAATAGTTTAACCGCGGAACACTTTTTAATTCGTGGAGCATTTTTGAACTCGTGGAAACTGTGAACATAAGAATAATATTACACTTGGAACAGTTGTTCTTTAATCTGCTGCAAGAATAAGAAACTCAGTAACCAAGTGAACCCTATCGTGGAGAGTGAGTGACCCTCTTCTAGTTTCCTTCCGCCTCGACCACTCTTAGATATTATGGTCTGAAAGTCGATAATCTTGTGATGTTTTGTCTTGTGTTTCTCGGAGAGGAGGAGTGGCTGCCTCCTTGGGACTAACACATTGTATTCTTACTTGTTCAACAGTATATTTTTTTCTCTTGTTAAAATTGAAGATATCGTCAGCGCCGAATTACTGTAAAATTAAACGATTGAAAGTTACCTACAACTTTGCAGTTTTGTGTGTGTGTGTGTGTGTGTGTGTGTGTGTGTGTGTGTGTGTGTGTGTGTGTGTGTGTGTGTGTGTGTGTGTGTGTGTGTGTGTGTGTGTGTGTGTGTGTGTGTGTGTGTGTGTGTGCGCGCCTCCTCTTCGTGTAGGATTCGCAATACAAGACAAAAACTAAGTATGAACTTGTTCTAAAATAGAAATTGGACAGCCAGCGCACTTTGTAGAGAAGGTCGACTCATTTCCCTGTGGCAGTGGTGTGTTTAAAGAGCAGGTCAGTGGTCTGTGAGTATGTCATTGGGCGGGGCAGTGAGAATGGCAGTGGGTGTTGCCAGTGAGCGGGACGGTGAGAGTGTCAGTGGGTGTGTTAGTTGGTGGGGTCCGACATCACCCAGACCGACCCCGTCCAGTCTGGTTCCAGGATGTCTTAAAAGTGGCACGACTCAAACTCGCGCCTTTAACTCGAAAGTTGAGAAAGCATTTGTCAGACTCACTTAAGCGACGATACAAAGATGGTGGTCAGAGTAGCGTTAAAATGGCGCTTAGACGAAACTCCTGGTGACACATATACTGTACTTCCTCCAGTGACAAGGGAGACATTTTAACGAATATCTTATTGGGAATTTGTACGTTGGTTGTATTCGGTTGTGATCATCAATGTTCGGTTGTGTTCGGCTGATGTTTCGAACGGTAAATATAAACAAACCAGCCATACATCAGTGAAATAAGTCATTGTCTCCAAGACTTTTAGAAACGTCATCTGGAATCGCTTATAACTATTTTATCATCATTATTTTCTACGTACTAAAAATTTACACTGAAAAAAATATCATTCTACTTTTATTATTATTATTATTATTATTATTATTATTATTATTATTATTATTATTATTATTATTATTATTATTATTATTATTATTCATTCATTCTTTCTATTTATTTATTTATTTATTTACTTATTTTATCATCACTGATAATTTCAACAAAAGACCACCAAATGAGTTCCTCTTTTAATTAATAGTTGACCAAAAAATGCTAATTACTGTACTAAAAATTAAAAGAATACTGTACCATCAATCAATTTGTAACTTGAAACTAATAAAAAATAACTATTGATCACTTTTTTTTACTTAAAACTATTATAAATGAGAGAGAGAGAGAGAGAGAGAGAGAGAGAGAGAGAGAGAGAGAGAGAGAGAGGGGCGGACGTGTAGTACGGCGATACAAGATTTAATATTTCCTTCATCCACAAACGTTGCTTGATCATGATGTAAATTACGGTTCCAAATACTAACCTAACCTAACCAGTCCTTATTGTTGGAGCTGAGAGAGATATTATGATATTATTGATGGTAATTTTCTCTGTATTTGTAGCTGGACTTATGCCTGATTGTAGCTGTGCCTGTATCTGGACTTATGCCTTAGCTGTACCTGGACTTATGCCTGATTGTAGCTGTTACCTGTATTACTATATGTGTCTGTGTTTGTCGCTTTACCTATAGTTGTAACTGTATTATCTATGTTAATAATTACTCTTTCGAATATTAATACATGTATGCAAATATTAGCCAAAAGAAGTACTAGGAAACAGCGCTATTAACCAATTCCCTTCACTAGCCAGATGTTACCCCCTACAGTGCCACGGTGGCACTGTAGGGGGTAACATCACACCTGGAGGTCACTGTTCCTGTATCTTTATTCATACCTGTGCTCATATTTATACCTGTATCTGTATTTTCACTTGTGGTGTATTTGTAACTCCCTGTCAAAGTGTTTATTATTTAATCAGTTAAGTGAGATCAATTACCAATAATTCGTTAACAGCATTAGACACACCTCCACCAGGCAGCATTTTTTTGACGTCTGCCACAGCCTTGTCGATCTGTTTCTGCGAAGTCACATCCAACTGAAGGACATGTAGGCGCCGTGACTTCACCTTCTGGAGCTCCTCTGCGCCCGTGCCACCACTCTCCGCCAGCAAACACCCGGCAAACACTCGGAAACCCTGAAGAAGGAATAGCTGAAGTGAGACGAAGGAGACACTGAAGAATCAACTGTGTAGTGTCAGGGAAACTCAGTGAATCGGAAATTAACCTAATGACAACAACAGTATCGGCTGAGTCTTCTGAGTGTTGCAGCTCTCTTGAATGAATGTTGATTTGTATTGCTGGAAGTTAAGAGAGCTTTAAAGAGTTTAGGTTAGGATGTTAATCTTCATAGTGAAATAAGTTGTGAGGAAGCAAATCAATTTAACTTCTCAGCATATAGACAGTCAAGTAAGGATCCCGTGTCCGAATGCTGTATCTTACCAATTTGTGAAGATGGAATGCCAGAGCTAAGCCAAAGCCAGAGTCACAGCCAGTCACCAGGATGCCTCGACCCTCGGGAGACACCTGTAAGTAAACACCTGTATTGGTCAGTTCTCAGGTAAACACACACCTCTAACCTACCTGATGCTTACCTGTGAGTTATACCTAAGATCTACCTCACATCTGTTATCTGAATATCTGCCTAATACCTGACTCATACCTGACATATGACTCCTATCTGATACCTAACACACCTGGCATATGACATTCTTAAGAGCACAAAGGGGTGATGTTCTTTAAGAGTACACGCCAATCATCTCCTCGCATATAAGATAAAGCCTCAGCGAGTGATTGTGATTGGTTAAAGGTCTATAGCGAGTGATTGTGATTGGTTAAAGGTCTATAGCGAATTTCTGTGATTGGTTAAAAGGTGGATGGAATATTTCGTCATGCATCAGTGATATTATGTATGACTTGGGGGAAGAGAGGAAGAGAGGGTGGGAGAGAAAGGAGAAGAAGGGAAGAGAGAAGAACAGAGAGGAGGGGAGGGAAGGAGAAGGAATAAGAGAAAGGCTGACAGGTATTTATGAGTTATTATTCTTTAACCTGACCACTCCCTTGTTTACGGAGGGTAACGATTATTCTCCTCCTCCATTTTCTTTTCTCCTCTTTCTCCTTCTTCTCGTTTTCCTCCTCCTCCTCCTTCTCCTCCCAGTCACACATAAAAGTGCTTTTCTGAAGTGTGTCTCACGGTCACCTAACACGAAATTTTATCTTCAAATGAATAGAATTTGCTAGAAGGAGGAGTTTGTCTGTTTAATTAGAGAGAACTTGATGTACCTGGAGAGCTGAGGAGACAATGTAGGTAGCAGCAGACAGCACCCACAGGAGGAGGAACAGCGTCCAGCAGCAGCAACTGGAGACAGCGTGGATGACGGAGGCCAGCACAGCACTCGCCCCTCCCAATGTCACCACAGCCTCTGTCTTGTCCCACGTCCACAGCATTTTACCTCACTGTTCTTCTGAAACTATTATGTATATGAGGCGCTACAAAATACCTTCCAGATGTCTAATAAATTGAGAATAAACTCTTAACTACAAATTTGGATTATAATTAGAAAATAAATCAAAACAAACAACATAGGATTATTACGACTCTTCTTAAGTTGAGGAACGACTCGCTGCCACACCAACACACTGGGAGAACAACGCGAGTATTAAGACACAGTGACACTTGTGGCTTTGTCGTAAACATCGCCGTCAGTGTGTGTGTGTGTGTGTGTGTGTGTGTGTGTGTGTGTGTGTGTGTGTGTGTGTGTGTGTGTGTGTGTTGGCACCTGGTAGGTCACCCATGCCTAACTGGGTGCCGGTGAGTGTCCAGACATTGTTTTATCTCAAGGTTCTCAGCACCAGGCTGGGTCGTCAGCTCCAGCCACCATAGAGTAGCCTGCCCGGCCGCCCTCAGTTGGATGTCCAGACTGGGGTCTTTGTACCCTCAAGGACAAACTTTCCGATTTTCGAAGTGAGCCTTAGAGAAGAGGTGCCGCGTCCTCTGTGACCCTCTCTCGGCACTGTTAGTCTGCTGGTTGGCATCAAGACTAGTCTGGTGACTGGTCAGGCCCCAGGGAGATATATATTTGTTTCCAGCTCGAGTGTTTCCATGGCGGTGCTCTTATTGCCGCTTCCTTTTTATCACTCGCCACCGTACCAAAACATTAGGTTCCTAACTGATATACCCTGTATATAATCTGGGCAGAGACTTGAAGATTGAGTTTCCAGTTATTAAATCGGACGGACGGCTAGAGGAGCTACTACATTGTTTCTTGATCTGCTCACGGCCCGACCTGGTGAGTGGACGAGCCTTGAACACAGTCAGTATACAGCTCCACAGCCTGGGAGGACCCACACAATGACCATCAACGTCCCGGTGATACAGTGGACCCGTAGCTGTACTGTACGTAACTCGGTCTGGTTATATTCTGTCGGTGATATAATCTTTCATATCATATCGTGAACATCTATGTTTTTTAATGAATTTTATGCTATATTTCCCGACAAGTTCGGTGACCAAACTATTTCGAAATTAAAATAATCCTTTTGTGATACCATTTGGTTTCAATAATCTTGTTTTTTATTTAAGTATCAATTTCCAGAAAGCTTGTCGTCATGTATGTGGATTCTGTTTATTAATGATTCCGGATTATGTATACGTCGCTTGTGGTCATTTAAGTCCTGGTCTGGTCTGTCTCCATCTTTTATTGTTTTTTTGTTTTTTTAACTTTTTGAACTCTTAAATCCACTTTCTCCACCACTTTAATGATCCATTCATACACACACACACAAACGAACATGCGCACACACGAACACGCGAACACACACACACACACACACACACACGAACATGCGCACACACGAACACGCAAACACACACACACACGAACACGCGAGCACACACACACACGAACACACGAACACACACACACACACACACACACACGCGGGGGAGAGAAACTATTTCAAAGTAAATATGTGACGTTTTCTTCCACTTCGTAATGTTAAACCACCCTCGTCCTCCCTCCAGGCAGATGTGCAGTGATGCTGACCTCGTCTCCAGAAACTGCCCAAACCAGGACCGCTCTCGAAAAATTGTATATCATTAATTAAGTAAAAAATACTTAAGCCACGCCCCTGCTAGGTAATGGCGCAGGTCAGGCAAAAACTGGTCCAGGTGTGTGTATGTGTGGGTGGGGGTGGGGGGGGTAGGTGAGTGGCTGGGCATGTGTGTGGGGGTGTAGAATGGTGGGGTGGATGTGTGTGTAGGTGGGGGTAGATGGGTGGGAGTAGGTGTGTGGGCGGGGGAGGGGGTAGTAGCGGAAAGAGCAGATGTAACTAAGGCAACAGCATCTGTGTTAGTGCAGTATTTACAGAGTGATATTATGAGTTGTAGTAATAGTTTGTTGTAGTAGTTGTAGCAGGAATTGTGTCAGTAGTTGTAGTAATAGTTGTGAACTCACCAGACGACAACAACCACATTAGCTTAAGGTAAAGGTAATGTTATTAAAGTAGAATTCCTAAATCAGGTCATCATTCTTCTCTTAATTTTATAAATATTTGTAATAACCTTCAATAAAACAGTCAATTAACATACCCAAAACTACCCTAAATAAATAACATAATATTAATGGGGTCAACCATCTTTACCCTGAAGGTGAAAGAGGTCAATGTTGTTTCTGGCATCTAAGGTATCAAGCAATTAACCTGTCATGAAGTTATCCAGGTGTGAAATTGTTATAAGTATGGATGGAAAGACTGAGAATGACATAAATTGATCGAGTCTCATAACACAAAGGAAGGAAAGAAGGGGCTATCTAGGACTGAGATGCCATGGGTGTAACTTGCAGTATAGATGACTCGACTTTTCTTTTATTTTGTATTGTGTTAGGTTAGGTGAGGTTAGGTTAGGTTCTCGTTACCTTGTGCATGATAGCAGTATGTTGTTGATGTTTTGTGTATGGCTAGAGTGATTTTTAATTGGTTATATTTCTCGTATGATCCAAAATTAATTGTATATTTTTATTGTGTATGTATAGAACAACACCTCTACTTCTACGTCAGCTGTTGGGAGGAGATGAGGCGAGCCAGCACCCATTCAGGTCATCTTGTGGCTGAGTTCTCGCTGCCTGTGTCAGTTCTTGTTTTTCTAAGTCACTTTCCTCTGGCACCGGTAGCTTGAAAGCCACCCTCAGAATAATTCCCGACTCTCCCGGGGCCAGTAGCTTGATCCTAACCCGGGGGATCTGGTTTTTGTTCAAGTTAGGTTAGGAGTGGGAGTTTATCATCGTGTTGTGTAAGTTGGTCAGAGAATCATGTTGTAAGGGACTATGAGCAAGTTCTCCCTATACACAGTTCCGTTTTCTTTAATGCACCTTGACTTCCTCTACCACACACCCCCATTCTTATGTGTGTTACTACAGTACCTTCGTTATTGTTGATCTGCTTCTAGTTTCCTTACGCCTTAATTTTTCTTGCAGGTCAACACTGTGGCAGCAAAGTGCAATAATAAACTTGTGTTCGGTAGTCTAAAACAGTGTGTGCTTGTATGCGTGGATGTGAACGACGCATTGCTACAGTTTTAAAGATAGAGCTGAAATTTTGTTTGGTTACTTTTTTGCGCTGTGTGCTTTAATTTGGCCAAGGATGAACAGGCTATGAGGTGCGTCTCTAATTTTAAGGAATGTCCCTCTCTTATCATTCTCGTCTCGTGTGTGTGTGTGTGTGTGTGTGTGTGTGTGTGTGTGTGTGTGTGTGTGTGTTGGCCTCATCTCCCTTCTAACACCTGAGTGGACCACAATTAAAAACAATGACCCTTCTTGCTGAAACATTCACGATGATAACATTAATGATCTGGAGGAATGACATCCATTTGACGGTCATCATAATTAGTATTTTCTCTCTAGTCTTTAAAGGTCATCGCTCATTACCTCGATGGGAAACACGCCACAATATTCGGTCATCTGTCAGACCCTCGACCTGTTTGCAACATATGTGCACAAATTACCAAAAAATCGAATACCGAATTACAAAAAAGCTTATTATCTCGCTTGAGTGAATACCTGCCAGCAAACTTCACATATTTTCTTCCTAATTTTTGTCTTGCTCTGAAGTTCCTGAGTAGTAGAGCTGAAGTGAGACATGTTAACATAGGCAGGGTGATTAGGACAAGTGGGATCACCTGAAGATTAGTCCCTAGATTATTTCCCTGATGCTAACCTAACCTAACCCTCCCCCCCCCGGTTACGTTAAGGTGTTTAATTATCAGGTGAAATAAGGTGGAGGGGCTAACATTCAGGTGATCCGACACATGAATAATATAGATCGAACATTTCTTGAGGCAATAATAAGAAATAAAAAAAAATATGAATATCCGAATGAATAAAAATATTGAATAAATCTAAGTATTAAAAATCATCTTGGTGGTTCATTAAGCAAGAGATGAGATATTTAATCAATGTTGTGGACAAGTTATGCTCATCAGGCTTTGCTTTCAAACTGAGCCATAGATGGTGATTGAGAAAACACACACACACACACACACACACACACACACACACACACACACACACACACATAAAGTCCCAACAGCTCTTCAATTTTAAGGACTGTTTTTTCCCACACTCGTCTGCTACCTCCATCTCGTATCTCTGTTCAGAAACGTCCACAGAGTCATCAGCTCTTCAATACGGAACAATGGGAAGACAGTATCGTGCCGTAATGTTACTGGGTGTGTGAGTGTGTGTCAGTAATGTCAATGAACCGATTATGTCTCTTGTCTCCATGCATACCTCGGAGGTCTCGAAGGGTTCGCTACTGATGGTGTTGTCGTCGAGTTTCTCTCACGGGAACTGATGGAGAAGAAGTAGGAGGAGGAAGAGGGGGGGGGAAGGAGGAGGAGGAATAGTAGGAGGAAAAGAGGAAGTGGTGAAGAAGGATAGAGAGGAGGAGAAGAAGGAAAAACTAAACAAATAATCGCTGTAACCCAACCCAACCTAGGACATGGAAGAATAACTGTACTGTAACACTCACCTAGTTCCTCGTCTCTCAGCTCCAAGTACACTAACACACAGGTACTCCACGGGGAACATCCGTGTACACTGTTGGGGGAGGGGAGATGATAAGTGACGTAAGCATTGATGGTAGAGGAGGAGGAATTAGGAAGAAGAATTAGAGGAGGAGGAGGAGGAGGACGGAAGATAAACAACGAGAAACAAAAAAAAATGTGTGTAGGAAACAGTGGTGGGCACTGTTCCGCTAATCCCCTAATTAACGAAGCTAAATTTCTCGTTAGCGGATTAGCGTTTTCGCTAACTTTGGAAACCATTAGTGGACCAATTAGCTTCCGCTAAATTTAGTTCCGCTAACTTTAAGTCTGCTAACAAAATTTATAGATGCTTGTTCCTGTCTGTTGTGCGGTGTGACGCCACGACGCGTGTCTCCACCAGCCAGTCAGGCACGCTGGGCTGATTGTGTGTTAATAAGTGTAAACATCCAAGGTGTGCGCCAAACATAATTTTCTCAATACTTACTTTTCATTAAAGTTTAGAGTTTTCTGTTTATTTACATGACTAAGACCAACCATAAGTTATATAAAAATGCACTGGTATAATGTGTATGTGGTTGGTATTGCATATTTACATGAATAATGAATAAGGCCGATAGGTTGTATGAGAATGCAAATTAATTATTTGTGAAATTGTGTACAGGTACAGTGTACACCTTGAAAAGTTGATCATCATCTGATCTTGGCATGATGCTATTTGCTACCTATGCTATACAATACTATAGTTTATGGATTCGTTTAATACTTTGTCTTTTCGTACAGTAAATAAAAATTATAAAGTGTATGTTGAAACTTGAATGTAAACTAATGTTTAATTTCATTTGTTCATTTAATTATTTGTGTACACCTTGATCATCATCTGATCTTGGCATGCTATAGCTTTTTGGAAAGCTCTGTGTCTAAGCTACAAGACAACATATGAAAATTTCAGCTCTCTAGGTCTGTTTTTAAGGGTTTTAGAGCCAAAAAAACGAAGCTAAATTCATATAATAAAAGTTAGCGTTTAGCGTTAGCTTCAGCTAATTTTTTTAGCTGCTTAGCGGTTTAGCGTTAGTGAAGTTAACTTTTTAGTTAGCAGATTAGCGGTTAGCGAAGCTAACTTTTCGTTTAGCTGTGCCTACCACTGGTAGGAAGTTCCATGCTGTTTTGACGGAATTTGCGTCGTCTTGTGTCAGTAATGGATAAGAGACCATGTGAGTACTGATAATATGGAATATGATTGTGTCCGCGTACGTTTTTTTTTATTTTTTTGGTGTGTGTGTGTGTGTGTGTGTGTGTGTGTGTTGTGTAAGGTCAGGTGAAAGGTTCCGACAGTAACATGTGGGGCATTACACACTGTCCACTTACTGTTATCACCAAACACCTGTCGGCAGTCACACACACACACCACGCAAGGACAATCCCTCAAATACCATACTCTTCCAGTTTAATTTTCAGTCTTTCATGGGGTAATTTGTCGAAAACCTTGGCAAAGTCCAAATATATTTTGTCGATATTGCCACAAGGTTCCAGGATCTGGGTCCAAACATCCAGCACCTCAAGTAGTTGTGTCTACTAACTACATGTGTACGGGATCCTCTGTGCTGAATAAATTCGTCTGTCGTTCGTTAAGTATGATATTAAAAGTGGGGTCCTCGTAGTGAAGGTATTAAACAAGCTGGCATTAAAATCTCTTAATTTTAATGTGAATTAAACAGTTACCAAAGTCACCCGTTGCCATACTCTTTGATCAAATAAAAGAAAATTGTTACTTTACATGGGTGACTACGTTATTATGTGTTCACTGCCCAGTTTCTTTCTCTTTAGTCTTAACAGCATATTTAAAGGTTACACTAATTTTATTTTCAAACAAATGGAGTCGTACAAAACACAAAGAACTTATTATAAAATAGTTTAAGGTGAAAATCAAACTGTTTTAGCGACAAAAGGCCTCCTCCACAAGGGCGGATCCAGCAGGGGGAAGAGGGGTGGGGGAGGTCTGGGGTCCGGAACCTCACCCTTTTTATCAGAAAATTCCATTAATTTTTCTTTAATGCAGTATTGTACTCAGGCATATTTTACAGTAAAAATTAATTACTATTAACCTCAGAATATCTCGTAATATCAAGTGCACATGGTCTCAAAATGCCCCCCCCCCTCAAACCCCCCAGCTGGGTGGGCTCGCTTTGCTCGCCATGCTCCCCTACCCACAACTTCTTCGACCCCGCCATTCTGGTATTCCTGGATTCACCTCTGTTTATCTCGGAGACTTGAGCAACATTCAGGTGAGCCAGTCGTGTACTTATTGTGTCTATTATAATATATTTCTCAGTGTCAGGTTAATATTTATCACCATAAGTAGGATAAACAAAGAGGAGACACCACGTTACCTTGTCCTGCCCTTACTGCCATCATTAGATAGCCCTCATGTCCGTGTAATGACCTTAAGTAATTGGTAAAATGGCAACTCACTATCAATTGTTTTTTGATCAGATATCTAGGTTTTTCACCGTGGTATTTGGTGTGATTCAGGTTCATGGCCAGACGTGAGGTGAAGACTAATTTGAACAGATAGTTAGGCGTGCATGTAGAAGGTAAAGAACACTTAACAATATGTAAAGAACAGTTTAAAACATCTGAAGAACACTTATAGCAACTAAAGATCAAGGAAAGAACAACAGGTAAAGAACACATAAGTAACAGGTAAATAAAATACAAACAATTGAATATAGTTAATAAAATGTATTGTTTGTGGTCCTGTAACTACAGTATATACAAAGTGTTTATTATTAACATACATACATACAGGAGAACATACACGATTAAAGTACATATATTATTTACTATATATAGTATATATATATATATATATATATATATATATATATATATATATATATATATATATATATATATATATATATATATATATATATATATATAATCTTTTTCTTTATTTGTTTACATTCTTCACTGGAGGACACCACGAGGGTAACCTAACACAAACAGTACGGACAACAACACCAGCTGAGGTCCCAACACATGTTACCAGCTTCAATGGACCTCAGTTCATATTAAGCCCCAACTAAACCTAATCTAACCATTAAGATTAGGGTCTGTGAGATTTGGGGTGTATTAGGAGTGGGGTCTATGAGATAAGGTCCTGTTTAGATTAGCCAGTGACCAACATATTGGGTAGAACTGTTCCTCCCTGGCCTGGTGTTGGACTACGGTGTTGTGGATCACGGTAGATGTTTAACACCTGGTCTGTGGCACCAAAAGTGATGAACAAACCTCCTAGGAAATAAATTGCTCACAAACACAAACATGTTTCCAGTATTAATTGTACATCTTCAAAACTTGGTCAGGGAGCTGCGAGTAATGTGTAGTTATCGTAAACCGCGAGTAACAAAAGTATTTTTATTTTATTTCATGTGGAATCAAAACATATTTTGCCATTAGTAATATTGACATGTCAGCCAACACTTCTCCTGGCTGCAGGGAGGCGCATCACTTAGTCTAGGGCGCCTTCCAACAATGCTTGTAGGTGTGTTGTAGAGAGTCGGTCCTCTGATGGAGCACCATGGCGTGTAAACCAAGTTGGGTTAATTTAACGTTAAAAGAGGTTATATTTGGTTATTATCAAAGAGAGTTAACGCATAATATAAATGTTAACTTAAGGTAATATTGTTATCTTTTGATCACCTTCAAGACACACACAGACATGAAGCTTCATCACTAAGAGGATGTGTGAGGAGTGTGACGTCAATGTAGGAACATCAACATTAGTTAACCTCTGAGGTTATATCATAGATGGAAGTTATCGCGGGTCTCATCATCAGGAGTGAAGCAGTTGTTGATATACACAGAGAGGCCTCCTGATGCCTCTGCCTGATGGAAGCGGCGACTTAACGAAGCCCTAAGGCTGGCCCGCTGGAAGCTGCCAGACCCATAACTTGAATACGAATCAAATGTAGAATCTGAGTTCAGCTGGTGCATGGATGTAGAGCGCTGCATGGCGTGTGATCTGTTCAGACTGTTTGTGTATAATGAAGACCGAACAGGAAGCTTACCGCTGAGACCAAGTGTCGACTGAGGGGCACAGGTTGAAGCTAAAGAAAGAGCGGTGGACAATACTGAGGTGTGGCTTGTGCGGCTGTTGGCTGACTCACTTGAGTCTGTACTATGGTAACCTGAGTCCTCTTGCTTTAACTTTGTCTCCTTTTCCTTCTGGTCTAGACTCGCCATGTATTGTTGGAGTTGCATGATGGAGATTTTATCCTTGTCTTCCTTAGAGTCGTCAACCTTCTCTATTATCCGTCTCCAGGTCCGCTTGATACTGTCAGCTCCACTCTTCTCCTTGAAGTGTTTCTCCAGGTCGGTCTTTGCTTTTAAGGCCAAGGCGATCTCCATCCCTTTAGATATTGCCTCGTTGTCAATGTCGGAGTCGGAGATGTTTTTCAGTTTTGCCAGGAAGCCGCTGGTCTGTTCTCTACTGAGGGACGACTGGCGGCGGAGCGAAGGCGAGCGGCCGATTGTGGAAAGTATAAACTCTCCACTCACCCTCGCCTCACTCCCCGCCGACCCTGGATTCTCCATACTATCCTCACAATTCAGAAGCCGACGGTCTAAACTGGACTCCAGTCTTTTCCCGAGACTTTTACTCCCTTGACCCTTTATGTCACATCCAGGAGAAGAGGATAGCGAAGAGGTCGGGGTCTCAAGGTAAGGCGAGGAATAGATATCGAGGCAGGGAACACTGGCCCGAGAGTCACAGTCGGCGGCAGTGTTCCCTACCCCTAAAAAATTACCCTCGACATCATCTTCTTCATGTAGAGGCGAGAGTCTCTGGGCGTCAGGCCCTGTGTGAGCAAGCAGTCCATGGAGGATGGAACGAGCTTCCTCCTCCGTCAGTTCTGGAATTGAACTCCCGCTGGAGGATCGCGAGAGAGGTGAATCTTTAAGAGGCTTTTTGCGTGATTTTTCCGGTAGTTTTGGGCGATCGATCTCTGATTCTGATGAGTCAGATTTTCTGTTTGCTTTAAGAGGTAGAGGCGGTGGAGCACTGCGGTTCTTTGGAGGCAAATCTGGAGAGAAGATGTCGGTGATATCAGACAATCGCGTCTGTTTGGGAGGCAGTGGAGGTCTTATGTCCCGCTGTTCCTTATTAGAAGGACTTGAACTTCGAAAGTTAAAATTAATACTGGTCCCTGATACTGGCAGCGGACTGTTGCTCACCTCACAGGTATCAGAGCCTCGTTGGAATCGCATTTCCTGATAATCTTTAAAGGTTCTGTACGTTTTCTGAGGATCATTATTATTATTAAAAATGTTGTTGTTGGTGTTGTTCATGGTGTTGCTGATATTATTAAGATAGAATGAACCTGTTTTAGTGGGTGAAGGAGGATTAGAGAACTTAACTGGCGAGTATGTCCGGTCAGGGGACTCATTCCTCGAGCTTCTTAAGCTGCGGTTGCTACTCCTCGACTCGTAAATATCTAATAGACTTTTATCTGTATTTTTAAACTTGTCTCCTGGAAGAGTCATTCTCCTCTGGGGTTTATTTCCTTCAGAGTTGTCCTCATTCTTATTATTGTTATGTTTCTTCACATTGGGCCTCTCAAGTGAGTCTTGGATAATACTGCCATTACGTTCAACTCGTCTACCACGTTTTTCCAGTGTGTCTTGATCGTAGCCAGCAGGAGCCTCTACTTCCTCCGGGTTCATGTTGTCCACCACAGGTATGGTCACCTTACAGCCGGAGTAGATGGGACTGTTGCACTTTTCGATTTTCACCTCACTAATAAGGGAGTCTGGGTTACTATAAATACTGCACAAACTCTTGTCCTCTTCACGTCTGTTTATTTTTCCTGTCTGTGTCTCACTGGTGTTGGGTCTCTTGCCTCTTGGTTTCTGTGGAGCTTTTCTCTTCTGTCTGTGCTTTGATCCAGCAGGGAAGTGTATCTCCTCGTATGTGTGTTCATCGTCAAAATCATCCACATTATTTTCCTCGCTCACTCTTTCGTAAGGACTTTCGTTATTCCTCACTAAACGGGACATAGTTTTAGCACCAGTCTTTTTATTAAACACTTCGTTCCTAGCTGTCATTAACTCTTCGCGAGGCAATTGTCTTGACAGGGATTTCGAACTTGAGTCTGTTTCTTCCTTCCCAGACTCTAAGGATTCTTTATATCTCGATTTTGTGTCTGAGTAAGCACTGTCAGAATCACTGGGGGTCATCTTCGGTACTTTTGATTCTGCCTCGCTGAGCAGATCATTGAGGGAGTCGTCCTCGGAGCCAAAGGATGTATTTAAGGTGTCCTCCCCCACCAGAGGAACTTGTTGTCGGGGTCTTCTTGGGTTCGAGTCATAGTGACGGTGTTCATTTTGCCATGACAGTGATCTGGTCACCTGGGTCTTACCTGACGATGGTTGTGTCCCTCCATCAGGACCTTCGTTGACATCTGGGTGACCAGTCGAGGAGGTGTGAGACGAAGGCTCTTTGACTTCACTGAAGGAAACGCTGCGATACGCCATTGTTCTATTTTTCCTGGGCGGTGTGGGAGGTTTGCTGTTCTTCTCCGGCAGTGGTGGCGGAGCATCACTTTGTGCTAGCACTGTCCGAGAGTCGAACACAACATTTTGATTTTCCGGCATTCTGGTGTAGGAATTTTTACCCTCTAGTGTTTGTAGCCATTTCTGAACCTTCCCTTCGCTGGTGCCGGACTCAGATACATTCTTCTCCAGTGTGTTTGCTGGAGACGATTTCTTTCTATTTTTTACCCTGTTCAGAGTTGACTTTGGAGATATGGCTTCACCAACTCTCTTCATCTTATGGAAAGTTGCCATCATCTCCTGCCGGAAGTTCTCGAAGGTGTTGTTGAGATCAGTTAGTCTCTTCCCGTCCCTCAGAACGCTCCTCAACATTGATGGTTTGATCAACTCAGGGAAGTCGTCCTCCGCCTCAACAGGTGACTCATTGCGAGCATTGATGGGTTTGGGAGGCGGAGGTTTGGGTGCCTGAGCCTTCTGTGTGTGAGCCCCGTAGATAGCCTCGGGATTTGGCATCCTGGGCCGCAGGTCAAGAGTCTTGATAATCTCACTAACGAAACTCTCGCCTTGGCTGTTGACACGCTTGGCGAGTCTCTTGAGGGTGGAGCTGCGACTGTCACCTTCCCTTGGGCGCTCTAGGGAGTCGCTCTGTATACTGGCGTCACTCTGGTAGACACCTTCCTCATCGTTCTCAAGTTCATCCATTGGGAGGGTCATCCTACTTGACCTTCCGGTAGACCTGCTGATGGGGCGGGAGTACCCCTCGGCGTCATCCTCGGGGATGTCGAAGAGGCTGGGCTGGTAGGTCTTGGTCTTCATCTTGCTCTTGGCAATGTTGATCATCTCTCGGATCCTCGTCAGGAACTCCAGAGCCGCGGGAGGAGGAGACTGTGGACGAGGGCACAGAGTTAACCTTGTGAACGCTTATAACAAAATATAGAAGAGGAAGAAATACATCATGACTTGGGAAGGGAATGGAATATACAAGAAGATAAGAGAATTAATTTATTTAAAGGAGACATAAAGAAACATTGAAAAGGTACAGAAAATCTTCCTAATAGATACAACAAAATGACACAATTGGCTGTTGTGATGATCGCCTTACACTGTTGGGTCAATCCATCACTTAGTCGGTTCTTGTGTTTACGATGACCAGGTGATCCTCCCACAGGTGATCCTCCCACAGGTGATCCTCCCACAGGTGATCCTCCCACAGGTGATCCTCTACTGACTCATTCACTCAGACTCTTGTACTCGGGGAAGTGTTCTCTTATGAACCTGACACACATCCCTGACATTCAATTGACACACCCGTGACACACACCTAGTCAATCCATCGATTACCATGTTGAGATGTATTAAGTGAAACATGTATATGGAGCAAGTAACAAGATTACAAGATGTTGTAACCGCGAGAATAAGGTTAGGATATAAGTACCTCTGGCAGTATGTCCCTCAAGCAGATGTGAACAAAACTAAATGTAAAGTCTGTGGCCAGACAAATGGCCACACAGCCCAACTTAAACAAACAATGTGCTGGAAATACTCTGTTACATTCATTGCTATAATATCAAAATCACTGGGGTCTGATAAACACCCTTTGTGGTCTATACTCTGTAATCAATTTTATGCTACCACTCACAGGATGAGTATGGGGTGCACAATAAACTAGCTGCTGTTCGCGGCCAACAAAAAAAAATCACACCCCTGACACACACACCTGACACACACCTGACATAGATTATAAAACTCGTGAGATGTAATTAGTTAAGAGTGACTCACCTGTAGCATCTCAGGCTCGAAGTACGCTGGGTTGAAGTATAGCTTCTTCTTGCCCTGAGCTTCCTGAACTTCCCTTTGAACGCCATCACACCCCCCCTCAGGGTTCAGTACCCCTAGGGCCCTCGCTCCACTCTCGCTGGTGCCGTTCTCACCTGTGGGAGAGGAACTCACTCAGGTCTTAAGGTCAAGGTGGATGGTGTAGGCTGGTGTAGGGAGAAGCTTGTCTTGCCTTATGGAATACAACTGTTATGGTGTTAATACTCGTAGTACACACACACACACACACACACACACACACCAAGTCTTATCTGCAGTATTATAGACAACACAGTCTGTACACGTGTTTGTTTCCCAGGATGTTCTACGCACGACTAAAGTCTGAGAGGAACCTGTACCCTTGGTCGACCATGCTGATGACTGGCCCAGTATTAACGGGTCCAGCACCTAATAGGCACCAGTCCCAATCGGCACTATTCGCACTTGACCTTAATCCCAATAATAAGCTTAGTTTGAGGTTGGAGGCCATTTTAGCTTTAATCGAGCTTACTCAGGCAGATACAGAAGCCTGACAACTCCACTACCTTATGTCAACGCTCGGCTTAAATCCTTCTGGCTGACAGTTTCCTTTCTGGAGCTGTTTACCACAACAACAACATGGGAAGGTTAGTCGGGTTAAGCATAGCCGAGTCTGTTATATGAGAGTAAATATCACCCTATTGTACCCTGACTGTTTATACACTGTGGGATAACGTCTGTATTGTTGATGTTTAAAAGGAATAAACTGCTCTTCATAAACGTATTAACATTTATTTATATGTAAAAATAACTTTGAAGATAGTAAAATATTCACACCTCAGAGCTATAAGATATTCACACAAGTTATATATACATTAAATCAACAGGAATATGGAATACTCATTTGATACCAATATTCCCCCCATGACGGTGTATCATAATCAATGAGATACTTTAGTGAAAGATATCAGTAGACAAGTTGTGTGGAGTCTCTAGTGGCGTAAGGCCTTTGTTCATAACTATTGTATATTTGGTGATTGAAAAACTCACAATGAATCTTAGATAAATACTTCTCTCTGCTGTCTTAGTAATAGAGTAGTTTCCATGTTTTATTTTCACTGAAACTTTCTGTGTGTGTGTGTGTGTGTGTGTGTGTGTGTGTGTGTGTGTGTGTGTGTGTGTGTGTGTGTGTGTGTGTGTGTGTGTGTGTGTGTGTGTGTGTGTGTGTGTGTGTGTATGTCCTAATTTTAAGAGGTCCTGGTCCTAATAGACCTCTAACTTCACCTAACTTATCCATCAAGATTTGACTCCAGTCCTAATAGATTCAAGTCATAATGGGACACATTACCATTGGGCCTAAGACCTAATGGACTCATATCCTAAAGTACTCGGTGAATTTTCCCTTTACCCACCTGACACCTTCCTGACACACTCCTGACACACACTCCTGACACACTCCTGACACACACTCCTGACACACACTCCTGACACACACTCCTGGCACACTCCTGGCACACACTCCTGACACACCTCCTGACACACTCCTGACACACACTCCTGACACACTCCTGACACACACTCCTGACACACACTCCTGACACACACTCCTGACACACACTCCTGACACACACTCCTGACACACACTCTGACACCTCTGACACACACTCCTGACACACACTCCTGACACACTCCTGACACACACTCCTGACACACACTCCTGACACACACTCCTGACACACACTCCTGACACACACTCCTGACACCAGAAACACACGCCTTTTATATTAAGTCAGATACATTAAGCTCTATTAAACACTGGGGTCTACTCAGCCTTACCGAGGGTCTCCACCACTCCCAGATGTGACCTCGGGGCTCTCTCAATGCCATCAGCTGAGTCGTGAGCGCCACCTTCCCCGCCACTGTGAACTACCGCTGTCGTGAAGCTGATGTGGTTTCTCTCCTGTAAGGGGAAGAAGTACATCGTCAGGAAGGTGTTCAGGAATATACCACCTCATTGATTAGGTTAGGTTGTATTAAGATATTCAGGTAAGATGCAAAAAAAAGTGTTTCACGTAATTTAATGGATTAAGATGATTTTTTGATGTGCAGTTAAACAAATTATCTGTAGTTGTTGTTGCTGTCATCCTCTTAATCGCTGTGCTGGGTAATATAGCCATCAGTGTATGTCCATCTGTCTGTAATCATAAGTTTACAGAATCAACTCTACATTAGTTTAGATTGGAATTTCACGTCACTTGATACCAGCAGTGTGTAAATGTGTATGGATGACTAGTGAGTATACGCTAAGATGTTCCACTCCGAGGATTTTGTTTAGCAGTCATGAGCTTTTGTTGCTGAGTCACTCCCTTAAGTCATGAATCCTTTAAGTAACTTTTGTTTAGTACAGAGGCAACAACATCTCTTACCTCACTTATCTTTAACGTCAGATTCCTTACCCGGTTGGCTCGGCGGGTCCTGGAGGCCAACGAGAGGTCTTCAATGTCCTCTTGGTCAAGTTCGTCGGCTGAGGACACTAGGGAGGGCTTGGGCTGGGGACGTGAAGGTCTCTTCTCTCTGCCTCTGCGACTTTTGGACGGTCGGACGCCCTCCTCAGCCAGCTTACTCCTGTCGGGGGATGAGAGAGTCAAACACACACACAGACAAAACACCTAGATAAATAAGACCTCATGAATATAGTAATAAGAGATGATAAAGATACATAAAAAAGGTAGAAAACGGAAGTGTCATATAATTTGTGAATATCAGGTAGAGTTAGTTGTTTCTACCTCAGTGTGCTGCCGCCTCCTGCCTCTGAGACACCTCGTACTGACACCTAACAGGAATGTTTCTAATAAACCCAAGAGACAACTTTTAATTTAGTTCTGTCTGGGTGAAAGTTTTTATAACGCTTTTGGAGTTAAATTCTTGAGTGCTTAAGTGAGCCAGTTAGACGTGTCGTTGGACTGTAACTCCAGTTAAGAGGAAAATTGATCATTTGATGAACCCGGAGACACATTGCCTTGCTATTTCTGGGGTTACTTGTGAGGCAGTTAAGTTCTAATCCTATATGACCCTCCCCCATGACCCCCCAATGACCCCCCCTCCCCCTCGAAGAACCCAACTCAGGTGTTAAAGGTGAAGCTGTCACTCCATCTGTCGGTGAGTTATCAACGGCAGGTGTGAGTCTTTGATGAGTGACTGTGGCTTCAAACAGAGAGAGACGATGATGACCCTTCCTTAGATTTGATTTCATTGGTGCTTCATATTGTTTAATGCTGGTAAATCCTACCCAGGTGATATCTATTGGATCTCAGACCAGATTAGCCTCAACCTAGCCAAACCTAACCTAACCTAACCTAACCTAGTGATTAAGTTAGATCTGACAACTACTACACGAGTGACCTTACATGTCTTTCTCCCTCTTTTTCCTTCTCTTGACCTTGATGTAGATGATCATGGCGACGATGTAGATGATGACAAGGCAGGTCACCACCAGGCCTATGATGATGCCTTCACCTGAGGACAGTCCCTGGTCAACTTCTTCCTCGCTGGCAGGTGCTGACAGGGCCGCCTCTGAACCTCCTGTAAAGAAGGACACTCGTTAGCACTTTCATCACCAAAATCGTAGAATTGCATCTCAAACTAAACCTCCCTTAACCACCTAGATTGTAAAAAAGCCTCAGGTTTAACGAAAATCATGAACAGTGAAGCAGGTGTATAATGATAGCGTGGAGACATTGCTTAGGAAAGTTGTAGGTGCAAACTTTTCCTGACATCATCACTTAGAAACAATGGAACAAAATTACTGATCATGCAAGGAAATGTATTGAATATTTCAGAATGAAGAATCCTTATTTCCACACCTTAATGATTTATTTTTCTGAAAATTTCACCATTGAAAGCCTTTGATACCCGCGGAATGGACGTTAAATAACCAACACTAACAATAATTAAAGGTTTTTTACATTATTTCAAATTTCTCAGTTAAATACACATGCAAAAAGCTATAAACTTTTTAGAAATTATCAGAAATGAAAGTTACTGGTAACTGAGATGTTTGATGCTTAAATCCTTAATTATATACTTTTATCCTGGTGTTAGTCTTAAAATAATACTTTCCTTGGACAAGACTTTAATCACTGTGTTCAATAACTCTTTGTAACTAACACTGGTTTATGTCTTTACAGGTCGAGGCATCAAGGTAAATACACTTGGCAGTTTGTGGTAAGATTACATTAGGAGATTAATTCTTATCATAAAATATCTCAATTAATGACAACAGTTGGAGATGTTTATACTCCTTATCTCTCTTATCTCAGTTATTATAATTCTACTTGGTGTTTTATTTCGTGTTTTTTCTCACTACAAAACACACAAGTGATGCATCGTACTTCAAAAATCTGTTTGTGGGGCGATATAGCCAATTATTTTTTTTCTATTCGTATGGAGCGAGAAAACTAAAAACATGAGAAGCAACGACACATTCTGAGGAAAAATTGGATATGATTTTATTATAAGAGCGTGGATATGGAATAGTCACATCATCGTCATCATCACCATCACGAGTAGCTCACCAGGACTGCCGGCGACTCTGAAGGCTAGACAGGGACGGAAGACCGGGGTGTTTGGCTGGGCGGCGTCACGACAGATGAGCGTCACCAGAACTAAGCGGCCCTCAGCTGACACCCGGGCTGCCTCCTCCCCTACCCACTGTACGTACGTCCTCCCACTGTCCCGAAACAGTCTGTGGTGGAGAGAGAGATGGAGAGGATACTAACACTGCTACCTGTGATGACAAACTAAAACATTGAAAACAACAGCGTAGTTATGATGTGAGGAGGAGGGGGTGGAGGTGGTGGTTAAGGAGGAGGAGCAGAAGGAGGTGGAGAAAGAGGTGGAGAAAGAGGAAGAGAAGTAACTTACCTGAAGGGTGGCTCAAAGGTGGAGGTATTGGCCATATTCTGCCAGCCATCATGAGTGAGGATGGTGCCCTTGGTGACCACACACACGGGGGACAACAGAGGAGACCCGCCGTGTTCCAGACCTGTAACAGTGTCCTCCATTATTACTTAATCAACAGGTGAAATAATCCGGGGTGTCTTATCCTCAGGTGATCTCTATATTATTTACACACTGAACAATATCTTAGTTTTTCTACGTTATAATTGAATTAGGTGTTTCTTGACTTTTTAATTAAATACCAAAGGTGGGATAGAGATAAACAATACAGTACAGAAGGTAATTAAAGGTTAATCCACACAGGTAATACAAGAGAAGGTTGGGAGGCTTGGCACCGCTCCTCACCTGGTCACGAACAACCAGAGCAGCATAATACTAACTGAGGTTAAAGGGAGCCTAAACCACACAGGGCGGATGATTACATAACACCTCCACTAATGGAATGATCATTAGACAGCCTGAGTGCCACTGACTGACTCCAGGGTAGTAATGTCTTCTGTAATCCCATCTTGAGCTACAGACTGTTGGTGTTATTTGTCTCTGTTTGTCGCCCATTAGGTTAGTGGGTGTTGGTGTTTCTGATAAAGGAAGAAAAACTCATTGTAGACTTTTAGTTTAACTCCAGAATAGTTCAGCTGATGGTTGAGGCTCTCTAAGGAAGGAGGACCTACTGAGCTCCTTTACTCTGAAGGAGGAGGACCCAGTATACACTTCTTCCTCCTGTTACATATAATAATCATGTGAAGATTGAGACTCACCTAGAAGGGCGACCTCAGCTGTGGGGTGGACCAGCTGATGCTTCATGGGCATATACACATACGGGATCTTCTCGGAGCCTGAACTGCTAACGAAGTCCGCCAGGGAACACTCTGTAAACAAGAAAGATGTCAGCTGGATGTTTCATTACTGTCAACTATACTGTTTAAAATCTGTGAGAGCTCTTCCTTGTAGACTAACTCCAAAAGGTATCTTTACAATTTTGTGTTTGACCATATGACACAACGGACGAAGAATTTTGACAACCCTACCGAGACAACATGAGTCGCAGTGTTCATTTTTAAATTCATCTGACCTCTCCCTGAAGATACTTGTGTCGTAGCTTTTATGACGTTAGCACCTCTGTTATTGTTATAATCCCAGGGCCCACTTCTCTCTCATCAGACCTGTAACAGACAACAGCTACCAGGTTGATCAGCTGCCATTGCTTACAGTATCAAGTAAGTGGGCCGCTGGAGGTTACACGAGAAATCCCTGTGTCAATAATCGCTTGGCTGGTGCTTGTGGTGAAGGTAACCACTAATGCTCAAATCACGCCAGACTGTGTGCTTCCTTCTGTCTTTAAAATTTACTTTGGGCAACTTTATGATCCAGTCTGTGTGTTTAATTGTTATCATTACCTTAGTGTTCAGTTTGATATAGGTCACGAGGTAAACTTCACCTCGTAAAACTAACTAAACACTACTAATGAGTATTCGATTCCTTCCTGTTGACACACTCACAGGTGGATGAGAGGCTTTAAAGGGGGCGTTGTTTCCACAGTCTCCTACACAACAATATATTACGTAAGCAAGATAAGACTACCTTGTGTATAGTGTGTTTACCCCGGGTGGTGAGGTCTATGATAGGCAGGTCGGGGAGGGAGAGTCAGGTGGTTAGGTTAGGTTTACAACACCAGGAACCATCATTGACAGGTGAACCTCCCAACAGTATGTTAATGAAAGCAGTGGCTGGAACTCGGTATTCAAAGCGTAGCATATATCATACGCCACAGGTATTTGGGAATAATACCAGACGCTGCGTATTGAAATGTATGCGTATGTGTGGCCAGCTCGAGTAAGTGAGAATATTTACGCAGCTTATTATTTAAACTATGTTGGCGGGGATTCTAATGGCAAGGGAAATTATGTACCCGAAATTGTATGCAAAAACCTGTCCATATGACGCGGAAAAACAGCTGAATCTATTGTGGAAAAGGAAAACTTTCTAGAAGTATTGTTATAATGAAAAACTTTTTGTTGATAAAAGTGTCTTGCTGTTTATGTTGTTATTCAATGTTTCAGTAAATCTAACTTTATGTAGTGAGGATAAGGTAAAGTTACTGCGGGTTATGTCAAGAGAGTTTTATGTCAAGTTCCCTACAGACTCTCTCTCTCTCTCTCTCTCTCTCTCTCTCTCTCTCTCTCTCTCTCTCTCTCTCTCTCTCAGGTCAAGGCCGGCACTTCTCACCAAAAACAACCAATCAATTGATCATTATAACAAACAAGTTAAAACATTAGTAAAGAAACTGTCGCTAAAAACCTCAAAACTCAACCAATTAACTTCTATTAATTTAAACAACACAAGATGAAATAATATGACCAGAAACCAGTGAACGCCAGACGTTAACGGGGCATTAAACATCGTCTGGGGTGGCAATGACCAACAAAAAAATCCCCTTCTTTTTTATCTTCAATGTCCCTGATGTTATTTGCAGTAATACCAACACCTCATACCTGGCGGGTAACCCTTACACCTTGATCCATCAGAAGCACAGGTTAATTAGTGTATTGTGTTCATATTTGATTTTTACATATTGACGTCATTGATGGTTACTTGTATACGAAGGAAAAGGTGATACTCCTTAGTGATGGTGAGTGTGTCAGTATGTTTGAGGTGTTTAGTACCTGTGTTGTGTGTTAATGAAGGATATGTAATGTATGAGACTCCTGATGTATTTATTATTGAGTTGTGTTTTATGATGTATGTATGTAAGTAATGTATGTATGTGGCGACCTACTGTGTAATGGTCAGCAAGCGAGTGCACCCGAGTTCGATCCCCGGATCGTATTCCGGGGTAATGGTTAGCCAGTGCAGTTGGTGAGTTGTCCGGTCTTCTCGGACAATTCCTTGACACTGATTCATGCAACTCGTTCACTCAGGGTGTGGTTGTTGTGTTGACGGCTGCTTCTACACCTTAAACAAATTCACGCCAAGGTGGCCCTAGGGCCGGCCTGTGTGTTGCTGTGGCCGTGTTATTTTTTATGGCACTGATTTACAAGTGACAAATTATCTCCTGTCCTGAAAAATCTGGCGTCAAGTCATTGTGTTTATCCCGAGATCAATTATCGGCTTATACATTATTCAGAAGATCAAAGGATTATCTATAATTGTAGTTTCCGATTATACTGTATATAACCGATCTCAAAGATAATAGGATCATCGTCAGATTTACGGGGTTGTAAATTTTGTTCCCTCCAAAATACAGCTTAAGTTAATACACCTCAGGTTAATTTTCCATTTACCAACTAGTTCTAATGTCTAAGTTCATATTCAGTATCCAGTTATGACGGTGTTGTGTAGTTGTGAGTTAACTTACGTATCGGCCGTAGTTGAGGCTGTTTTGACCTAATGCTGTATACACACACACACACACAGTGGGCCAGAGTAGCGTTATACCAGCAGTGTAAACATAATGCACCTGGGGGTAATACCGGCCTTACCCTGACGGTTGTTGCAGCGGGAGATCATATCGGTACTGGTGAAGCTAATTCCCTGTCCCTGGCCCAGACGTGGTAGCTCTCCTGCGGTGCATCTAATACCTTACACAGTTAATCAAAACCGGAGATTTATTGCTTGCTTTATTTCTTGTATTCATTACACTCTTGAAAAAATGGCTTATTTTCAATGCAAAATTAATCTTATGAATAACAAGGAATCCAATGTATTTTTTATCTGAGTGTTACCATTGACTTCATCTGCTAGGAGGTAGATGCTGTTTGAAGACGCAGGGTGTGGAGCGAGCGGTGTGTAGCAGGTGATGATGAGAGGGCCAGGGAGGGCGGTAGAGGGAGCGACGCCTGATGTATCGAGCAGCCAGTGTGATTATACTGCCCGAGCCTTTACTAATAACCGGGTAGGTCCTCCAGCTTGGGCGGAGGAACTTAACTTAGCTGGGAGATGATACACTCCTCTCCTCTCTCTCCTCATGGTACCTGTTTGAGCCGCTCGATATTGCAGCTGACACCCTTGACGTACTGTACCAGCGGACATCTAAGACGTATTAGTTGACACCTATCTCCCTCATGATGCATGATCTGATGTCTCTGAACCTCGCGACACATCCTCTGACATCCTTATGCCTCCATACCTGACTTCTTGTCCTCGCCCATTTTGACAAGTTACTCTCGTTTTCATGCCGCCCTCTGATGACGCCTGAGATACTTTCTTCCCTCCCTAAAATTGTCTCCCATCTCCCCCTCCCCTCGCTCTTCCACCCTGACCTGGCACCGCGTAAGTAATAACCATGTTGGCTGGATAGACAAAATTATATCTGGGGTCAAACAAACACTTCTCACCTAACCTTTGTGTTTCAGTACACCTTTTTGTCAAATTGGTGACAGAGAAACTTACTAAGTGTTGCAAATAATAGCTAAACGCCATCGCTTGTGCCGCTTTGATAGATAGTCCGCGTGATGCAGCTCATTGTCAACCATTCGTCTCGTTGGTCAGCAGAGATGGGAATAATTGTCGAGGCTACAGTTTCGCTGTTACACACAGAGTGGTTAGGCTACCGGGTGTGGTGTCCAGAGGCACTGAGGGAGAGGTACAGCGAGTGTTGTGTCGGAGCAGTCAATAGACAACGAGCGATCTATTCTTTAATTTAGTGAAGTTCCGTAATGGTAGCAGACGTTGTAGGTAGGAGGGAGCAAGGACCGGTCAGGCGCAGATGAGTGGATCTTGTCCCTCCGTAGGGCAGCGCCTGGGTGCTCTCGCCACCACGGCTCCACACAGGGAGGCTCAGGCCAAGAACGGCAACCCTACCCGGGGGTGAGGGGGCGGGAGGCGATCACAGGGACGATCACAATCACTAGTTGGACGCTTCTACACAATTAAACCTTCGGTACCTTAGAGCTAAGGTATTAAAAAGTCAGGTATTCCCGAGTGATTAATGAACACCTCAAGTGGTTTTGTGTTTAGTACAACACGATACGCAGTGGGAACCTGGTGAATTATATCACATTTAATATTCATGCCTGTGTTGTTGGTTTTAAGACAACCTTTGGCTCTTAAATGAATATTAAAGAATTTATTAAACAAGGAAAACATAGATTCCATGATGCTTGATATCATAAAAATGCAAATATCAGGATTTATTGCTTCACCAACTTTGCATCGGACTGTGTAGTAGCAAGTTGTCTCCACCACTCCTGTCATAACAACGCTGATAATGTGTTAGTTATGCAGCAAGTATGAAGATGTAGTGATACTTAGAGAGATATTATCCCCGTGGGCGTCAAACACTCAACTCTGACCAGCTCCTGTAAACGAAAACAAGAGTTGTGTCTGATGCAGCTTTAACACCTGACACTCACTACAATATTTCGTTGTCTTTCTACTATTGCTTCTCACTGGCTCTGTTGACAGTCTTCTAATGCAATATTACTTTTATTCTTATTGTGACCAACACTCGACTGTGTCTCGTGGGTGCGGGTTAGTTAATACAGTGTTCAACATTTTAGGATCCCGGTGCCAGTACTGTCAGAACTACTGTTGAGGGCGCCACGTGGACTTACAGATTAGAGTAACGGTGTTCAGTATAGTGAGATGTATAATTTGTATTTTTTCGGAATAATTCTTCTCTCGCAGCACTTGGCTGTACCCTAGGGCCTCCGATGCTCAAACATTCGATTAAAGTTTTTACTCAAAGGTCAACAAAACACAACCAATCACGGAAACACGGAAATGTTGTAGTGTGCTCCTCTTTACTGTACAGGAGTCAGTTATATATTTGACCATAACAAATCTGACATCATTGTTTAGTAATAATTAACATGGTAACCGGAGTTATCCTCTTATGTTTCGACAAAGTACAGTTGATCAGAACGGCCACAGACACAACACCCCCAACAACAGCATTATTAACACTGTTTACATAACCAAACCAAATTTCAGCTACTTATGTTAAAACAAAAAAAGTTGATGAAACCAAGACAGCCACACAGACGCACAATATTACAGAAGGTGTCCCCGTCTCTATAATAACAAAGGCAGCTCCTACTATACTGTGTGTTCGCCCTTCACCAAAACTAACAACATACGCGAGAAATAAACACCTCACCAGATTTACCTCTATGTTGAAAAACTTCATCGTGTACAGGGGGCGTCCACCTATCTTAGACGTCCGTGTTAATTCTCTGGGCTTATTACATATGCATATCAGATCTGTCTAAAGCAAAGTGTAGCCATGCATAGTAAACAGACAGACTGAGAGAGAGAGAGAGAGAGAGAGAGAGAGAGAGAGAGAGAGACTGTGCTTTGGATATGTGTGGTGTCAAGATGGCGGTAGGTTAGGTTATTTACAGCTTATACACTTAATATTACTGTTGCGAACTTGTTACTCTTGGTTCATTGCCAGTATCGTCTAGCTTCATCGTAAATGGGTCGTTTATTACAGCGATGATGGGTCTAAGTACAGCTGCGCCATTTTCTGCAGGTAGACTCTCCCGTGAGGGGTGGGGGAGGCTGTTAATTAATGTTCTTATTTACCTGGTACTATCACGCTACACCTGAGTCTTTATTTAATGATTTTAATAATAAAAATATAAAATTGTCCTCTCTCTCTCTCTCTCTCTCTCTCTCTCTCTCTCTCTCTCTCTCTCAGGTGGAAGACGCAGGGGTGTTCTCCAGTCCTTACGTTAGCGTCCTCAACAACTAGGCGTCGTGATAGACCAGTAGTGAAGAAAAGCATGCAATCAAACTCCAGGATCTGTAAGTCGTAAAGTACTTCTGAATGATGAGAAAATGTTCCTACAGCTTTATAACTCTCGCCCCGCCCCAGGCTACTGAATAATGACCTAACCTAAACTAACCTACAGAAAGACCTAACAACCCTCGAAAAGGTGCGACACTTTATACCTGAACTTGATCGTCTCAGTTGCTCAAGTTGACAAGTCTCGAGAGGACGAACCGAATAGAGACGTTGGAAATCTTGGAAATGATAGTAGAAGAGGTGAATCCTGATCTAGTTGTCAATATGTCACACGCCACCACCACAAAAAGGTCCTGTATTTCATTGTCGTCAGGGTGTCTTGTGGAGCAAATATGATGAAGTGGTTTTTTTTGTCAGGTATAGGGTGTTTGACCTTTTTGTACAGTTTACTATATGAAGCTGTGGACTGCCAAGGACAATTGAAGACTCTAGTTGTAGTGATCTTCAGGTAAATTAGGTTAATGTAACTATGAGTTGTTTACATAGTTCCTGGCAGATTCCTTCGGCTCCAGACTGTTTTAATAAGTTATGAGTTAATTGAATCTTTCCTCATTTTCCTCAATTTCTTGGTAAAATGAAAACTAGAAATTTAGTTTATCTTGTTGAGTGTATGAGTGTGTGTTAATACTGTGAAGGAAGCAGCCTGACGTAAATATTTATTTATATATTATTATTTTGTTGAAGGGAAAGACTTGAGGGTTTACGCTGCTGCTCAGGTGTGCTACTTGAGGTGCTTTTACTCATGGCGGAGTGATCAACAGGTCAGCCACGTCACCAACACTACTACTGGCTGTTTGACCCACCTGTGTGAATACCGGTCTTGATGAATTTACTCTCTCACACACACACACACACACACACACACACCCAAAGGCTTGGCAGCCAACTACTGCACCACCCTCGTCATCGCCACCTCCTGCCACCAGCAGCCCCCCACCCACCTCGCGCAGTCAGCCACTACAACAAAATTCAGCCCATAAGAGCCCGCACCGATAGATATAAGAACAGTACCATCCCATCTATTGTTAAAATAATAAACAACTCCTGATTTATGTACTGTACAGCCCTGTAAATGTATTCAATGCATATTATATCATTATGTCTAAATCAAATGTAAGTCTGTATATGTTCAGCCACCGGCTGCAACTCTATTAATAAACCGTTTATTATTATTATTATTATTATTAGTGCTATCATTATTACACATGCGCACACACACACAAAATCATTTCAAGAGTTTCATCAATCCAAACCGGCCTTTGCTGACCTAACTATTAGTAAATATCTGCGCGTGACAGGTTTCATAGGTTTTTGTTCCTCAAGAGTCGGATCATGCATTTAATGACCTGTTCTTGGTTACTCGCGCTTTAGTGTGGTTAAGTAAAGGTTCGTTGTTGTGTGGTAAATATTATAGGGCGGTAGTCTTCCATATCCAAAATGAGAATATTTACTTGTGTTTATTATAACCTAACCTAACCTAACCTAACCTAACCTAACCTAACCTAACCTAACCCAGCACGTATTAGCAAACCGGGGGAGATGATGATTTGCACGGGAAGAAACATTGCTAGGATAGCTTGATACAGTGAACCCTCGATATAATGGACTTTCATCTCCATATAATCAGTTAGATGGGGGTTTTACATCTAACGAACCATTCGATATAATGGACTTTCATCTCCAAGGAGTCCTTTAAATAGATATTTTACTATACCACTGAACAAATAGAAAAAATGAACAACATCTCACAAATAAATAAATAAATAAATAAATAAATAAATAAAATGATGATGATGATGATGATGATGATGATGGTGATGATGATGATGATGATGATGGTGATGATGATGATGATGATGATGATGGTGATGATGATGATGATGGTGATGATGATGATGATGATGATGATGATGATGATGATGATACCCTAACATCCACTGTTTAAGACACACCCAGATGACTACTTCAGCGTTAGTCCGGACAACATAGATAAGGCAGATGGTAACTTGTTGCTATACGGGACAGTTGTTTGGTGCTCAAGTACACTAGTTAGTTATCCCTGGCGCTAACAGTACCACCCGTAGTTAAGGTGGTGTAAACCTGTTGGTGGGGCGGCTGCGGGCGGGGTAAGTGGGTGCTCCTGGTTCCTCCCCGGGCTGAAGTGGACGGTTGTGAAGAGGTCGTCATTTAGTACACCCTGAACATACTCACCTTGACGATAGCCTTCTTTCATCTCCAAACATTCTGTCGTTTGTGTGATCCAGTAATTCATTCTTATCAGTTTGATAATTTTTTACAACATTCATTCATAAACTAGGATTTCTTAGCTCTCAACAGCCTGCCAGTATACGGATGATTTGTATCAGCAGTCAGCTACAACCTGCCAACGTTGCTACACTC